CAAATATCCTCTGAGTCTGCAGTAGTTACAGTCCTTATAGAAATAGAGCATATTTAGGCTTGAGCAGGTCCAAGGACAGGGAGCACAAAGGAATTCCTGCTATGTTCCCAAGAATCTATTCACTCAACTTTGGATATAGCTCACTGCAAGGAATGTCTTTGTGCAACTGTCATAAGCCTCAACTTGTTAGCACCTTCATTTGTACCAATAAAGGAGAATATTTGTAGCTTAGAGTTGAAATGAGGGGGGTCCTTAGTGCTCTCTCAGCCTGGTTGTTTTCTTGCAGACACTTGGTTGCTTTCTTGCCAGCACTGATGATGTTACCTAGTTTGGGCAATGAAATGTTTGCAAGAAAACAAACAAGCTCAGAGAGCACCAAGGACCTCTCACTTCGTTTGTATTTTTCTAAAGTTTTCCTGATATGATCAGGCTCTGATCATCCTGTTCCCAGCTTTTAAACCCAGCTGGAGTCTGATCATATTAATAGTCACAGAAATCCCAAGCCATTTTATGAATGTATCTGCACTCTTTTTTCTTTCATACTTTGAAAGCTGTACTGCTCTTCTTCTCTAAGGCTGTTTTTGCTATTCTCTAAAAAGTGCTAGCACCCATGTGACTACATCTGGGCTTGGAAGTTAAGATAGAGCTGGGCAACCTCCAAGATTTGCAAGAGACACTTGAAAAACATCCCCAAACAGGGCACAGACAAACCATCTCCCTTTTGTTGCTAAAAATACTCTGTGCATTCATGAAATCACCAGGCGTCGATCATGACTTGAAGGAATCATTATTTATTTTAAGAGTTCAAAACAATAGTTAGGCTAGATAAGGCTAAAAAAACCCTGTTGGTGTTCTGTAATCTTTGTAAGGGAACTGCAGGAATAGTCATGCAAAAAGTACCCTGAAATTGCAGCATAAATTCACAATGTCTTTGAATAAGCCTGAAATGTTTTCTGCGGGGAACACATAGTTCTTCTCTTTGGAACTCTGGCTGTGTTCTGTTTTACAGAGTTTTCTGCACCTAATACGAAAAGTCAAAATGACAACCACTTTTCCTTTTTCTCCTCTCCCTCCTGATGATGTGCACTATTATGGATGGATGCCATTTGGATGTGAGCAAATGGCGCCATCGCTGGAAGCTTCTGCACAAAGCAAAGCAGCCACTACCAGAACAAACATAAGGAAGAGAGCTGCTGCCTGCCTGCCACACAAAGGGACAAAGTACCATCTAGTGGGCAACGCAATACATTACTCAATCATGATTTTTCAGGAACTGTATCTCACCAATCACCAAGAGTCCTTAGGAACTGAGCAGTCAATCAAAACAATGAATGAATGGATAAATAATCTTATGACTTGACTAATCACACTAAGTCATAGGTTGATTAACCCTGACTTATTGAATATACCATAACTGGACGGATCCACATACCATGTCAAGCCATAATTATGACTTGGAAACCTTATTAATTTAGTTACAAATCTTATTACTCTCAACCTAAGTACAGCATAATAAATCTTAGTTATGCAGGGTTTCACAATGGTTTGGAAAAAATACTTCAGACCTCACACATTTACAAGGACATGCCTTCTCTGCTGTTCCTTAAAGTAGCCCTCTTCTTTTTTTTTAGGCTTCTGCAGGAGCCTAAAAAAGAAGCCCCTGCTTTAATGAATCAAGTTATTAAGACAGGACATCTATCAAGTAGCATTTTTTTCAGCCTTGTGCAAAAAAAGAAAAGATAACTGTTGTAAGGAATAAGTAAAAAGTACTGTGCTTGTAGATCAAGAACTTCCAAGTGAGTTTCGAAGCTTGCACAGCCCTAATAAATGGGATGTAAACTTTCTGCTGCCTTATATTAAACCAAACAATCATTTACTGTTCAACCCATCCCTCTTCCAGCATGTAGAAATCATTGCACAGAAATAAAAGCCTAAAAGATGTAGGACAAGAAGCTAGAGAGCTCCTTGTGTATATGCTGGAGACCTCCTTCATAAAAATTGTCTTACCAATAAACTTGGAAAAGTTGCATGTTCTACTGAATATGCCAGAACTGTTTATTTATTTATACCCCACCCTTCTATTCTGGCAAGTTCTCAAGGAGACTACCAACCTTTTAAAAACCAAACAAAAGCACTAATACTTTGATTTAAAATAGCCTAACCATTCAAAATCTAGCAAAAGAGATTATGTCTTATACATTTCCAAAATGCTGAGAGAATGGAAGGTAAAAGCTGATGTGTTCCATGGCATGGGAGCAACTCATGGCAAAGCCTTTCTGGTCTGCCAGAAAGATGGGCTATTAACAAAGGAGGGAAGTTAAAAATCCTTCGGTCAGATTCTACACTATTTAGGGCTTGAAATGTCAGTAAGTTAAAGACCCCTCATGATCAGAATCAACACCTTCAATTGTAACACATAAGCAATTAAGTGCTCTGGGCAATCAGGACAAATTTTTGCATCATATGAGGCCAGTTATAAAGTTAGCTGAACTATTTTGTACCAACTGCAGCTTTCAGACACTTACTTTAGTGTCCCCATGTTGCAGAAGATGAGATAAACCAACACATCAACAAATCTGAGAAGCTCAGGAGGGCTTCCAACTGGCAAACCAGGAATAATTCGTCCAAGCTTCCTTGGCACAGCCATCATCTGGAATCCAGTAATAACGAAGGAACTTTCAAAGGGAACACAACCTTGACTGATTAGCACCTCGTTCTTGATTTAATGTTAGCTTTTTCATCCAGCCTGCTCTCAAACTTAGGCAACTTTCAGAGTTTCCGTCTACTTCCTTAGATATGGGTGGTAACACCCCACAAGTCTGGTTGACCTCCCCAAATGGTTCGATCAAAAGGTTGAACAGAATGACAAACATGATGAAAACACAGAAGGGCACCATAAGTCAGCAGCTATCTTCTCTCAGCTTTATTTTCTGTACATGGCACAATAGGAAGAACTGGAATCAATGCAAAACATTGTCTTCAATGCTCAATCTTACCAGGCAATCTAGAGATATATAATAGTTGATAGTTCTGAAACTAGCAAGTTTGCATTCCATCACACCCTTTAGTGAGACACTCCAACTATAAAGGGCACGTTCCAGTAGCACTAGCCACATAGAGCCTTGATAGTACAGTGGTCTAAGCACCCTGTTATTAACACAGCTGCCTGCAATTACTGCTGGTTCGAATCTCTCCAAGGCTCAAGGTTAACTCAGCCTTCCATCCTTTCTAAGGTAGGTGAAATGAGGACCCAGTTTGTGGGGGCAATAAGCTGACTTTGTATAAATATACAAAAGTATGAAGGCTATTGCTTAACGCATTGTAAGCCGCCCTGAGTCTCCGGAGAAGGGCGGCATATAAATCAAATAAAAAAAGAAAAAAGAAAAAAAGATCAAACGATTAATTTTGTAAAATCCTTTCTGTAAGGTGTACTTGCACAACAGAGAGCCTCAAACTTGTCAGAAACATTTTTGCCAGCTGTATTATATGAACCCAGAAAATTGGGCTATTAAATAAACAATGGAGCCTTTAACAAGTAACACAATCATAGCAGCCATGAAGGAGACTTGGAAAAAGATATTCAAATGCTGTGATGTGTCTATATCTACAAAGATCAGAATTCTGCAAGCCATGATATTCCTGTTAACATTATATGAAAGTGAAAATTGGACTTTAAAGAAGCAGGCTACAAAGAGTATTGGCCCTTTTGAACTTTGGTGTTGGAGAAGACTCGTGAGAATATTATGGACAACCAATCAATTAAAACAATGGATCATCGAACATATCAGGACAAATAACCAAGCTCAAATTATATTGCTTTGGATACATTGTGCAAAGACCTAGCTCTCTGGAAAAGCTGGGAAAGGTGAAAGGAAATAGAAGAGGACAAAAAGAAGCAAAGTGGACAAACTCAGTTTCAGTGGCTATTAGTGCATTGTTGGGAGACCTGAAAGACCAGTTTAGGGATAGATTTTCATAGAGAAAATCTATCTATGTGGTTGCTAGGAATCAATGCCTTGATGGCACATAATCAATCATGTAGTCTAAATGTTTTATGTAAAATAAGGTTTAGGGGAATTTGAGAAAAATAAAATCCAGTTGTTGGCTCTTTTAAAAGTGCTGGGTTGAATGGATTACTGTAGAACAGACATCAGCAGTAGGCCTTGATATGATGCTTGAGCTCTATCAACTCCCCCAGGATGCTTGGTGCTGATTCCATACCGGAAATGCATGTGGATGCAACATTTTGAATTATTGATAATCCTCCCAATTTACCCATATCCTCTCATAGATAGCACATTAAACTATGGCATTCATGTCTTGCTTGTGGCTTTCTATATACAATTGATTAGTCAATATCAATCCTGCATGGGTGGTTTTTTTAGGATGTCTGTGAAAATTCAAACAAGCAACAAATAATTATCTGCATTCTCCCTTCTCCAAAAAGTAAATTCCCAAAGGAGGTTGCCATATTGGTTTTTCACAAGAAACAAGCACATGATTCCTGGTATGTGTCAAACCAAAACATTTATTTTCACATAAAATTAATCCAGATACACTTCATCAGATGCAGTGGAATCAAAGCCAAACAAATGGGATTTTTAGTAAGTACACTTACTGAAGCCAGAAAGAAGCAAGAGAAATTGGTTAGAAGAAACAGAATGGTTTCAAATTGGTTGAAGATAGAGTATTATGATTAAAAGTGAGAATCTCACTTTTAGAGGCAAGTCTTTTGTCCTAGTCTGTGCTGAGAAGAAAAACTGAGGAACATTTTGTTCATCCTTGAACAATAAACATTCTAATCCCAGTGGCACACAGTCCTGTCTTTGGAATCACACATCACATTAAGCTATAATGAGTTTGCTTGGTAGTTTTTTAATATGACGCATATAAACTCAATCATTGTAATATAAACTACAGATTTCAGAGTAGCAAAACATATCAGCCTCGACTGTAACTGTGTACAGTCTCTGGTCGAGGAGGCTCTCTTCAGTAAATACCTCATTATTGCCCCTTTTTCGCAGAGGACAAGCTTTCTCCAGCCAGGAGACATTCGTCATCTCCCTTGGGCGTGGCGCCAGACCTGACTTTCATCCCGAGTTCATCTGTCGAGGATTTTTCAATTAAACCAAAATAATTAGTCCGTGACCAATTAGAGTGCAAAGGAAGGAAACAAACGGAGCTCCAGGCCAATGAAGGCTTAGGAAGGCAGGCCTCCGGGTAAATGAGGGCCAATAAGGGCACGTAAAAGGATATATTGAAAACGAAAGTTCCGACTTTGTAAACATCGCAGGATGATGCCTTTCAGCCTTTATCGCAAGCCTTTTATTTTAAAAAAACCAAATACGGTGTCTTTTGAAAAAGGTATATAATGGGGCGGTCACATGAAAACAATCGCCCGCTGCAGAAACTGCATTTTGTTTTTCACCTACATTATTCACCTAGGTATATGACGAATGTGAAAAATGCTGATAGGGACAGGCAAAATTGCAGGCACCGATACACATTTAGGACCGATCCTTTTCATGTCTACGTTCTTTTTATTTAATCGAATTTACTTCCAAGTAAACCCACATAAAACCGCGCTGTTCAGATTTTCCCAACAATGCGATAACTCGGGAGACCGGGAAATTCTGCCTGTCTTCAGCTGCTGAAAAAGTCGTGCAAAAACGCGCGACGAGAGGAGGAAAATAAGGGGTAGAAATGTGTGTGATTTCTGACTGGAGTTAACGGAGTTGGTGCACTGCAGGGAGGGTGCCTTTTTTTTTTTTTTTTTTGCAGCTCCAACTTGACAAGACGCCGTTCCCTTTGGGTTCAATTTTGAATACTGTTCTAGAAACTTCCCACGACTACCACCTTGCGGATGCCAATTACAGACACCGGAATAAGGTTTGGTTTAAAGAATGGGCGACTCGCTATCCTCTGCAGAGCAAAACACTGTTGTAACATGACAACCTTGCGTTTTGAGCCAGAATGAGCGCATTCACTTAAGTAGAGCCGTGGGATTTCGTGAATAAGGTGTCGCTGATGCAAGTGTTTTTGCATGCAGGGCGCCTCCTGCGCACCTTCCTCAAAAATAAGGACAACTCGGTGCAATAAGGAATACTTCGCAGGTCCAATATGTGCACAAAACCTGCAGCCGTTTCGCTCTTTTTGTGAGAATTTGTGAGGCCATCGCTCCAGGGCTGATCTCTGTACTGCGCCAACACCGAACATCAGTGGGTAAAAACACCAGCCGTGAAAAAGGAGGCGGTCTTTTTCGCCCATTTCCCCTCGCAGGTTGAGGGAAGCTATTTCCAATTGCCATTTCACTCCTGCTTCCCGTTCCCTGAAGGAAATCATAATCATAATCATAATAATAAAAAGCCTGGCGTCTCCCCCCCCCCCCCCCACGCGCGCCAAATCCAAAGGCTGGCCATTTGTGTTAGGCCTGCGGTGCGAATCGGGACTTTTATCTCACGCTCGCGCAGGTTCCTTGGGGGTGGAGCACGCCGCTCGAGCAGGTCTAAAGCAGGAGCGGTTTCCGTGCGCCCGGCTCCTCTTGACAAACTAGCGCTGGCCAGAAGGGGAGGGCGGGGGCTCGCTCGCTCGCTCGCTCTTCTCTCTCGCGCGCGCTGGGGAAAATGTTACGCAGGTTCTAAAATGGAACGTTAGCGGCGGCGTGATTGAGCTCTGGAGTGGAGGGGGTGGGGGCGCCCGGAGTAAGTAAGAACGAGAACAAACAGCGATAGCCGGCGCGCAGTTGGATACTTCCCTCAATCTGCGAGCAGCCGCTGCCTCCGCCACCTCCTTCTTCCTCCCTGTATGGAGCTTTCCGCTATTGGGGAGCAGGTGTTTGCTGTGGAGAGCATCAGGAAGAAGCGCGTAAGAAAGGTGGGTGCCGCTTCCCTGCGCCGACTTCGCATTTATTCTGCAGGGCTGTAAACGGCGTTTTAGGGAGGAAGGATAGGGAAGGCGGGATTTCTTCCATTGCTAAGCCTCCTCTTGGGACCTTTAATTACAAACCGTGATTCTAGCGGTAGCTGCTCTTGCTCTGCTCCCAACGCCAAAAAAAAAACCCAACAACAACCGCGCGGTACAGCGAGAGCGAAGTAGAGTACATCATCCTCTCGCCCCCCAGTTTGTACACACGCCGTAGTGCGAGTAGGGGGGCGTGGCGGAACTTCTCGTTTTCCCGCCGGCAGGGGGCGCCAGGGAAGCCCAAGAGAGGGCTGACTCGCAAGAGTGCAGAGAAATGATGGTGGTTGCACGTTTGTCACGTGGTGATACCCCCGTTGGAATGTGCACAAGGGTTGCTGCAGCGTTCCCCCGTGCGGGGTTAGGTCTGATTTACTCGTGTGCAAAAAAATACCTTGAGTTGAATAGACCTCACCTCCAGACAAGTAACTAATGTGTCTTGGGATTGCAAATTTAGGATTGCTGCAGAGTTGGGAGTGTTAAGAGTAGGGTAGACGTTTCTGCTAGAGGAAGAATAAATATGTCAAAATGGGTGGACGTCATATTTTTTAAATACTCTGCCTCTCGGATTGGATCATTTTTCTTGCTGCCCACGTTTTTGCTCTATAGACATAAAAGTATCCTGATGAACAGAGAAATTGGAATTGCATGTCTTGGAAGAAGGTTAGCTATTTTCAGCAGCTTTAGTGAAATTTGAGATTGTTCTAAGATGAAGTGAATATGATTATTTGGGGTTTTGTTTCATTTTTATCAAGTTGTTTAGGCCATAAATATTCATCATTGCCTGCATGATTTAGCTGCCTTTCAGAGATAATTTGTGCTAATCAATGGGTTTCTTTGATGTGAAGAATGTCAGATTATTGTATGAGTTGAGGATTGCAAGACTGTATCCTTTTTTTAAAAAAAAACAATGTATGGATTTTTTTTAATAATTTGAAGCACAATATCAGTAATTTTAGGAGAGAATTCACTCAACAGTTTATCAAGTGCTTCCTAATAAACTGGAAAATAGTATATCAGCTCAACGCTTTTATTGCCTCATACTTATTTGCTTTAAAAAAATCTATGGTGATGGCCTTCCATTGTGGTGGGAGATGAAACCATCACTTCCCTCATTACTTCCCATCAACTAAACACAAGCAATCATGTATGCCTTTTTCTCCATGATTTCTTGTGTTCAGTTGATGGAAGTAAGGAGTAGGCTGGCATTCTGTACTGTGAACCAATGAGTGCGGGTTTATAGATGGGGAGGAGGCTGAGGATCTTGTGCAGCAATTCCAGCAATTATCTGCACTACCTTAGATAATCTGAGAAACATTCCTGTAGCCCAGTGTTCAGACTATTGCATAAGACCCCTAATTAATTATACTGTAATCTGCTATAAGCAGAGCTCCTGTGTGATGTACCAGAAGCCCTTGCAGGCAAAGGGATGAAAGTAGCAAGGTGCTCAAATCAGTCATCCTATCTAGCAGGCAGGATTTTTTTTCTTCCCAATTTCTCAACATTCCTTCTTAATCATGTATAGATGGGTTGTTTTCTTGCCCTTGTGGTGCTTTGCAGTTTATGTGCCCTGGGAAGCCTTTGGATATGCCTCCAGGGCAAGCCCAGGAATTGCAGCTCAGAGTGTGGAGAGGTTTAATTATAAATGCAGAGAAATGGGCAAATTGAAGGGTGCTGTTTGTTAGAATATTTTATAGATCTAACTGTTTTTGTGGGGCTTGATGGCACTGTTGATTTTACTTCCTTTCCTTTCTCTTTTTCTATAGGGTAAGGTGGAATATCTGGTGAAATGGAAAGGATGGCCCCCCAAGTAAGTTTGGATTATATTTGAAAGGTTTTGTAACCATTATCTGTCTTGTGTTTTATTTTTTTTCCCCCTGTTGGCCTCAGCTTCAAGAAAAGGATCTACTTAGGTTTCCCTAGTTGATTCTTTTGAACTGAGTTCAACTGATATGTTTTTTTTTTAAAAAAATACATTTTCTTGTGGTATTGTGGAAAATAGTTCGAGAATAGAAGTACACCGTCCCAAATGAAACATATATTTTAAAAATAAAAGGTTATAAAAAGAGTTATTGTTCTTGGAGATAATACGGGGCCAAATGGAATGAATAAGGAGCAGATTGTGATTTTGCTAGTTGAACAATAAATAAAAATTTGCTTGCCACCCGTCCATTATTTGAGGTGGTTGTAATAAGTGGACATTGGCAGAGAGTGACGAAGAAAAGAGAAGCAGATCCACTTATTGTGTGTGATATGGAGAATAGCAGAGGTCTCTTTTGTACAGTTTAGAAAAGTTTCTATTTAACTGATCGAAAACTGCTGTAGAAATGAGCTGGGTTCTCGGTGTTGTTCACCAGAAGCTTGTGTGTATATGTATCCTTGACAAGATGGCAAATTGGTCAGTGCCCAATTTTATTTTAGCCTTAGATATCTGGCAACATGCTTTTGTCTTCCTAATTCAAATAGCATAGAATCAGCCACCTTATTTCTTCCTAGAATGTAAAGTATATAACATCCATTCAGATAACATTGTATTGCTTAAGCATCTACAAGATAGTTGCTTGGTGTTTCTAGCAATGTTGTGCTTTCCAAAAGTTAATTACATTTCAACAGGCAGAGTAGTAATCTGTTATGCAATATGCTGTAGTGTGAAGCAATAAAATCATGTATGTAAAAAAAAAATATTCCTGTTAATCCAAGCCATAGGGACATCTTCGTTATTCTACCAAAACAAATTATATTGTAAATATAATTTACATATTTCAATGGAAGTTAAAATGGGCCAAATGGCACAATTGATTTTAGATTCTAGATGGTACAGCTTTATTGATGAAGCATGTGCTAGTAATTTTGAAGATTAATTTTGTTTAGAAATTTCGCTGCTCAAGGCCCTGGATTTTGGTTCCTTAATCTTGTTCTCACATCACCACTGAACACAGCTGTAGACAAATCATCTGCCAGGATATTACTGGTTTCCTGCTAATCCTGGAGTTAGATTCTGAATGGGCATCAGTTTTTGAACAGAAAGGAAGATATCCAAACTATACTCTCCCTTATCAGTACTAATAGTGCTTCTTAGTGTAATCATGGAGGTATTAAATAGGTTTCTCATCACATGTGTTGGGATTATGTCTCTTTGGATTTTTAGCCTCCCTTTAAATATCAGACTAAAATTTGGTTTAATTTTGTGCATTATAGAGATTACTTTGAAGAGAAGTTCACTCTATTATTTCTTAATTCATAATATTCTTCCACTCTATCAGAAATATTTCTGAATTTTACAGTTTCAGGAAGCAGCAAAAATCCACCTCATAGTATCATTTGCTGTATTCCCTTTTCATTCCTATTCACTTTAATAAAATAAATCCCAATTAAATTAGGATCTTTTAGTTATTCTGCTGGGGGGGGGAATCCCTGAAAGACTATTAGTACTGCCAGAATCAATTGGAAATTAGCCTTAAAACTAACCATTGATTTTTGTTAGAAACTCTCTTGCAGATCACTGTTTGTTTTCCCTTTGATTGCCCTTTTTTGATACAGGTCTTTGAACATTAAAAATGCATTGTTCTGGGCTCTATTCTAGATTAATTGTATAAAGGAATTAATTTCTGATGGCACCTATAAATGGCTACGGTATTTCATTCTGTGAGATAGGAGGCAAATGGCTGCAGATCAAGAATTTTTGGCTGGGTTTTTTTTGTGTGTGTGTGTGTGTGTGTGTGACTCTTTCCTCTCCCCCCCCAAATATAATTTGTGTGCCTCTCTAAAAGTTGCCTTCATGCCCCACCCATCAGAGCCAGAAGCCAAGAATTTGGTTATAGCTCTGAGTCAGCTGCAAGCTTGTTTACAACTTGAGTTAGAAGAAGGGAGGGGGAAGGAGAGAAGTGATCATATGACTTGTATTTTCCAGAATGCGTGGTCTGCAGTTCTGCTGCAGTCTGGTCCTTTCTGTTTGTGTGGTGGTGGTGTATGCGTTTGTCTTGTGTGGCGAAGTGCACTGTGTTTCTATATGCAGTGTTTTCTTACCGCAGTCAAGCAAGAAACTGAACTGCAGAGGAATGGGCAACACCCATAGGATATTTATTAAAAATTCTGATCTAAGATTCCCCCCCACCGCCCAGTGCTACCTCCCTTTTCCTCCCAGGAATTCTTAGCTTGCTCTTTATTTGCCGATTAAAAGTGCTGCCAAAATCTCCCCCAGCAGAAAGGAAGGAAACAAAATTACCATTTGTTCAAATGGCATTTTTGGGTTTAATCACTTTTCATTGTGGACATTGGCACAAAAGAGAGATGGGGAGAGGGGGAAGGGATTTTAAAAGGCTGGATTAAAAAGGGGAACAGAATATAGATGAATGAAAATGAAGCTGAAGAAGTTAACTATTTTTAAACCTTGTCTTTCTCCTATGAGCAGAATCTGAAAGGCATCTTTTAAAGTAAACGTATTGACTTATATCATATCTCTTTCCCTCAGTCTCAAGGCAGGTAAAACAGTTTTCTTGCTGCATTTGTCTTCTAGTCAGACATGTGTAAAACTTGTTATTTTTCTATTTCATATCATAGGCAATGAGCTGGAATATTTTATTTCATAACATGATTTTCCACCATCCCGTTTAGGGAAACATTCACAAATAAAAGAAAGAACCTGCTTAATATTCTCCAAGATTGGAATTTGAACTGACATCAGACGATAGACAATCTAAAGCCCTGAAATTTATTTCCTAAATCCAGGAGCTCCTTGCCATTGGCCAGGCTGGCTAGGATTAACAGGAATTGGAGATCCAAGTAGCTGAATAACAAAGGATTATATTCCCTGGAGATTACCTTTCCAATGTTATGAAGGACTCCGTAGCTTCAATAGCCTTGAGATTGACACCCATAGGAGCTGGAGCTCCTGATGGAGTTACCTTTGCTGGTAGGTCAAAACTGGAGAGGGAAACCTAAGAAAAATCCCCCAAGGGATATTCTGCAGGCGCTAGAAAACAATATGACAAAAACAACCACTTAGGAGAGAAAAAATCAAATATGGAAAAAGGCAAAGTAGTTCTGCATTGGTGCCAAGAAAACAATGTGACATTGGTTGAAATATTTAAGTATAGGTCTCATCACCTTTGCATTCCAATCAAAAATACTCTTAACTATTAGGGAAAAAAATGTTAAACACTCAAAACCAGTGCTGAAAGAATCATTATTTTCAAA